GGTGATACATCACCAGTGTCAGTAACTGAAACTGATGTTATGCCCTTCAAAACTGTTAATACATTTTTCAGTTATTTTGTATTTTCAATTTAAACTAATATATTTATATTTAAAAACAATTTTTTTTTGAATACATGTCTTTTTTATCATCCTGTAATGCAGAAATTATAACATTTTTTTAAAAAAAATATTGTGAAAAATAAAAGGTTAATTTTTGAACAAATTTAGTATTATTTTAAAGAAAAATTATTTTTTAATATTGCCATATTTATCCTTATGCAAAAATATTATTTATCAGTATTAAAAGCATATTTATAATTAAAGAATTAGGTATTCACTTTTGTTGTTCAATGAATTGTGGAGCTTCAAAAATTATAAATCTTTTCCTATTATATTATTTTCTTTTAATAAGTTATAGTAAATTGTATAAAAAATATCAAATATTTATTTATACGTGTAATTATTATGTGTACAATGGTTACACTTATAGAATTTTTACCTTTTACCAAAGTTCAAGGTTTTGGACACTTTAAGACAGTTTTACCCAGTTTAGGACAGTAAAACCCAGTTTAAGACAGTAAAACCCACGTGTCCTGTCTAAAACCAGTTTAGGACGTCCAAAACCCCAACCCTGATTAGAGTGTGTGAAAAGTATTTTGAATAATCATCTTTCACAACACTCTATTTCCTCGCACAATCAGAACTGTTGTTTATTATATTGTCTTCCTGTACCGAGATTTGTTAGATTTCGATAGCGCTTTTTTTTCTCTCTCGGATAAATATCAATTCGAGACCAGCCTTTTTAAAAACTTTTTTTTTTTCACTTCTGTTGAAAAATTTAAAAATACATATTAGTATTAATATGTATGTTTATTAGGATACAATACATATACATGCTTATTACAAGCAGTATAAAAATACATATTGATGCTTATCAGTATTAATATGTATTTTTTTAGTAAGGTTATTTAACTTTACATTGAAAAGCGATTTAGAGTTTTTTCAATTGTCTGTTTATAAGTATGTTTGTTCGCATTTATGTATGATTCAGTCAAATTAAGAGTTTCATTCATCAAAACTAGTATATCTCCCCCTCCCAAAAATTTATGTGCGTGGCACTCCGGACAGTATTATGGAGTGCAAAACAAACACCTTGCTAAGCAATAATAATGTTAACAACCAACAAAAAGTTAGTTTAAAACATAAACTGAAAGACTTTTAAAAAAGTGAGAAATATTAAATCAGTCATTTTAATAAACACTTTTATATTTATTTGATATGGTTATAAATGAGATCAGAAAAGAGGAAATAGAAGAATCAATGATTAGAACTATACCTCTTAATTTATGTTACTTAATCATTTGAAATTTTGGGACAGATTGAAAATATGTGAATTTAATCCTAGATTACGATAGCTTAACATAATTTAGAGTTACTCTTTAACTAATCATTCGATTCATGGATGATGATTTATAAAATGAGCTCAATTTTATAAGTAATTTATTCAAACAAATTAAGAATGGCTCCAGGGAAATATTAGTCCATTTTTATTTAAAGTTTGAAATTTAACATCTGCAATTTTTGAAGATCTTAACATGCAAAAACACTAACAACTTGAGTTCCCAAAACAGTCAAAAGTCAGTCAACCAGATAAGTGCTCAGTTGTCTAGCGTTAAAAATTTTTTGAAGCAAAAGCTTACTAGAAAACATTTAAAAGAAAGTCAAATATGAAATAATGATACAATATTTCACTAGTTACAGAATCACGAAGAAAAATAAAACTTACTCTATTAGAGCTTTTTTAGTTTTTCCAGACATTTTCATTACAATATTTTTGATAATGATGTCCCCAAATGTAGCAATAAGGTTCTGCAACATATTTCCATTAACAAAAGAAGGTATATTTTCTATAACATATTTTGTTAAGTTGTGGTCTATTGAAGTTGAATCAGCACTACAGTTAACTGGAGGTGAAGAATCAGATATTGAGTTTGTTACACAATTCGAAAAACTATCTGGACATTCAGGTTTATGTTTTGCATTCAACTCAGTTGCATAAGGGAAATGAGAACTGAGTTCATTGTTTTCAAAAGTATCCCCATAACTATTTTTTTGACGTAAACTTTCACAAAAGGCTAAGTACCCTGAATCTGAATCAGCAGCTTCTTTGTTACTGAGGAAAAAATTATCCAAAGGTATTTTCTTTGAAGCTTTCTTTTTAACTCTCTTCTCCTTTTTATTACTTTTACCACTGTTGACAACAGTAGAAAGACACTCATCTTTGGATTTTTGCAACACAAAAGGAAAAAGATGAACCTCTTCAGGAGGATTTTTTATATTACTCAAATCACTTGGATTCTCAGAAAGTTCTGAACTTTGACCTGGAATAGTGCCTTCAACTGTGTCACGAGTTCCTCCAGTTTGATTTGAAAAAATTATGTTTTCAATTCCTACAGAACTATTTTCATTATTTAGCTTAAGATCGTTCCAGAGTTTTTCACTCACTTCAAATAGATCTTCCATTTGATCAGGGCTAGAAAAAGACACTCTGACAGAATCTTGAACTTCTTCATCATTTAAAGGGCAAATATCTGTTTCCACTGGCACATTACATGCTGATTTTGTTGAAATTTCGACATCACAAGATTCCAACACTTTTTTATCACTTAAATAATCAAGAGTACTTATAGGAGTTTCGGATTCACCGGGATCATTAATAATTCCAACCACAGAATTTTCCTCTTCATCATCACTTATATTCAGATGCTCTAGGTAATCAGCAATACTATTATCTGGACTATCAAATTTCTCTTCAGAACATGAATCATTTTTTACTTTGCTAATATCCAGAGCAAATTCACTGTTATCTGTATTCAAGCAACTAAAAGAACAAGAATATGTTTCACCCTCATTAGCTTCTTGCAAATGTGTTTGTTCAGTGTCTAGATAGTTAGGTGGCAATTGCTCTAAAGAATCTAACAACTTTTCACTGCTATGAAAGATACTTTTCTGTATTCCAGCATCATTGTAAATGGAAAGGCTGTCAACTACATTATGTTTTACTAATGTACGGGAAATGGCAGATTGATGCTAGAAAAATATATTTATATAAATCAGTAATGTGCATTGGCGTTAAAAAAAACAACACTAAAAGTAACTGTTTGAAGTTAATGTTTTTTTAATTAAGGACATAACAATGAACATTTTTTAAGATTAACATCGTGAGAACCCACAGTTAATGTCAAGTGGAAAAAGCTTGAGACACTTCACTTTTAAAAAAACAGATAGACATGAACTGCTAACAATTAATAATAATAGATAAACTGTAAACATTTCAGCTAGTTTTTTTCTTTTTTTGTCTTGATTGATTATGATTACTCAAAGCAATAATTTATTATAGATGAATTTTCCATTTTATTGTACCATTTTAAAACATTGAAAAATGATTGCAGTTAAAATGAACTACAATAAAACTATGTCAAAATGAACAGGGTCCTAAAATAAATTCATATTACAATGGGTCATGTGATATAAGATGCGGATGCACATTTAGGCTAAATAAAAAAATTAAAAAAAACTTTTAAAGGTGCATGTAGTTGACAAATCAAAAGAATTACACAAGCACATCTATAAGCATTGTTGTACCCGATTTCTCTCCCGCACTTGTCTGATTTTGTCCAACAGTTGGAAGATTAATCACAACAGAATTTATGTGCAGAATGAGCAGGTAGACCCCGAAAAGAATATTAAACAGAAGTAATATTATTTTAAATAGCAAAATTTTTACTTTATTTGGCTTAATAAAATCAAAAGTCAAATGAATGGTTAGATGCATTTTCAAGGAAATAAAATGTATTCTGAATAATAATACATTTGAGTAAGTAGATAGGTTGAATAATGAAAATGTAATGAACAACAGGGTTGTCTTTAGAAACTAATACAATTCTAATCGACTTTAGGACACAGAAAAGCTAGATAAATCAGGTAAGGTTTTTTTCAACAAGCAGAATTAGAACTTCTATCTGTATGCTGACAGCCTTAGCTGCAAAATTTAGAACTCAAATTCATCATTTTGTCATTATTTTTAATCGAAGCGGAAAATTGGACGAAGAAATTTATAAGGAAAGCCCAAAATACATAAAATGTGCAATAGAAAAATTAATTGAAAATGAGGTTACAAATAACAAATTAGTTAAAATAATGTGGAAGGAGATGGTTTATTAAATTAATTAAATTTAACATGACCTAAATACATATGTCTACACTGATTTTGTCATCATTTGGATTACGGACTGGATTATAATAATAGGTTCTTAAAAACAGATGATCACAACTAAGATAAAATGGTCATACTAATAGAGCCTAATTATTGCATTGAAGTACAATACAATAATGAAGAATTAAATGACATATAAAGAATAATGTAGAATAAATTATGAGTTTTTAAATTTCAATTGGCTTAAAATAATTGTTATTTTAGGAGTAAAGAATCTTGTTAAGAATTGTACTTTTAATAATTCTATTCGCAAATAGTCCCAGTAATAACAAAATATTTTTACACACAAATGAATCTTACCACATTTGAAGAAATTTGAGAAAAAAATTGTCTGTTTAGAAGAAGCTCTGATGGAATCCAAATGTTAGAAAGTTGCACATCTTGCAACTTTATCATTGGAACTAATTCTGCATCTGATGCTGATGCTGGAATCTCATCAATTTCAAGTGAATCGTCTAGCAACATTGCGATCAATGTTTTACAGATTTCTAAGATGAATGAAAAACTCCATTAATGATACATGCTTTAAATTAAACACACAATACAATATGAAATCACAATCTATAATCTAAATTTGATGCAACTAAAAGTATCACAAGAATGAATTGGTACCACAATATTTTATATTTTCACATGAAAAAATATTAGTAGGAAGAAAAGAGATATCAATTGACTGTACGTTAAAGATTATGAATAAATTTTTCTATACAGTCAATAAATAGAATATAAAAAGTAAAGTTTTTTATTTTTATATATTTTTATTCTCTTAATATTTTATTGGGTCACCCATGCTTGATCAAGTTTCCAACACAAAATCTGACATTGCAATTTGAGTTTTAAATTTGCTAACAAAATTGGCAAGAAGCATTGAGCCAGATATATCATAGTATCTTCAGATAAAATAATGTAAATTAAGAAAAGTTCAATACCTTACTAATAATTCATGTCCTCGCAACTTCCTTGCTTCCAATGCAAAATTTATTTACATCTAACAGCTTTGTTTTGATGCCCTTCAACTAGAAATTACATTTTGATGGCGGTTAAAGTACAATTCTTTAAAAAATAAAAAATTTAAGAAACCATTTACACTGTACAAAAAAATTGCAAATGCGGAGACGCGAATGAAAACCTGATTGGTTAAGTACATTTGCTGGTGAAAAATTTGCCAACCAGGTTCTCTGCCGCATCATCGGATTCGTTCATGCGATTTTGTGCTTGCAGTATAAAGGACCCTTCAGCAAAATAATCTACGTAAGCTATAAACCAATCTCTTTCTTAGAACTGAATGCGCCATATAAGTTCATTGTTACCATCACGACCATCCAGGCAATAACAAATAAAATTGTTGTTCTTCCAAATTCAAATTTAAAGTATTCCAAAAAGATTTGGTTTCAGTGATAAATTCTCTTATTAGATATTTTTTTATGCTTAAATATGTTTTTATCATACAAAATAGCCGGATAAGAAATCTTTACCTTTCAGTGTTTATAAACTTAACCAGGAGGATCTCTGTCCCAGAAAAGAAACTATTTCTGCCATACGTATTTGGTATTCAGGTTAATAAATGTATGTTTTTTCATTAAGTAACCTTTTTTATTTATCAATTGAAAATTACCAATGCATAACTCACATTTTTTTCCTCTTTAATAAGTCGAAATATGCTGCTGAATCTTAATTTAATAAATTTCGCGAGAGCGAAAACTACCTAAAATTATTTATATTATAATAAAATTTGTTTATTTTTTAATTATGCACATTATCTGATAAATATGTTAATAAAAAAAATAGTTCTTAAAAAGTCAGGAAAGTTTTTCTTTAATGAATGTCAAGGTCAATACTAGTTTACCATTAAACCTTATAATATATTATGCGCATTTATAAATGTAATAAAATTATTCTTACTTGGTCCTTGATTACTTTTATTTACTTGGTTGATGGATTACTGAATATCTTTTGTTGTAGATGAGGGCCTAACTGATCTAGTGGCACTATCATTTTTTTTTCTTGTAGTCAATGTTGCTTTAATCACTGCTTATAATTATTTTTTTTTTCACTTTTTAATTAAATGATTATTTCTTTTATTTTTAAATAAAATCTTCACCAAAATTGAAATAAATTATTTTTGAAAATTGACTCTTATCTAGAGCATTTTATAAAATTAGGTGTGAATTTTAGAGATTTTTGTATAATTAGATACTTATAGTATAATATGAATGAATAATGAACAATTTTAAGCAAAAAAGTAAAGTCAGCAATTTTTTTAAAATTTCTATATAAATTTTCTAGGTAAATATGCAAGAATATGCATACAGCAATATGAAATTTTAACGAAACTTTTTAAAATTCAATAATTTAAACTACTGAAACCTTCAAAAACCTTACCTAATAGTAAAAATTCAGACTGTGCTTGAATTTTTTATCTTTACAATTCTGCTTGGCATTTAAATATTTAATCCAAAGCATCATAAAATACGGTTTTTAAACTGTATAAAAGGGTATTATAATACCCTTGAATACTTTGACAGAAATGAAGATGCAGGATAGACGATAAGCAATAAAAAATGGATGAAAGGAGAAGATCGATTATATTTGATGATAAGATCTGAATGTTATTTAATTGAATTAATATAAAAATGTGCAAAAAAATTTATTTATTTTCTTCTAGTCATGGTCATTTTTATTGAGAAAAAGTTTTCCCAATTGCTGTACATAAGAAAATAATGTTAAATAAGATATGAAAGCGAATGTTCAAGTAACATTATTTTAAGTGACATTTTGAACTAACTTGTTTACTTAATCTGATAATTCTATTATTTTATTAAGAACAATGGTTTGCATATATTATTATATTTTGTACATAAAATTAAAATGCTGATGTATAAATAGTGTTGTTATTACTATTATTTATTCTTTTTTTTTTGCTTACAGATACATTACAGAATGAGTACATTTTTAGGTTTTCATTAATATGCATTTGAAAAAAATTTTTGGCCTTGTAAAAGTATTATTTTAGCATGAATTTTGTGGGCTAACATGCTTGATTGGGCATGAAAGAATTGTTGATATTTTTGAAGCCCTGGTGTATACATAGTTTTTCAAATATGAATAAAAGAAAAACTTTTTTAACAAATCTAGGTTAAGTTTTAAAGTTAAAATAAAGTTGATTTTCATTTATCTTTGGTGGTAGTTACATAAATGGGCACTGAACAACAGTATAAAAGGAAAACAAAATAGGGTTGTTTGAGAATTGTTCTATAAAATATATGCATATTTTCTCTTAAATTGATTTTACCCCTATATCTATAAACATTAATTTAGCAATGCTTTTGATCTGTGGCGATCTAGTAACTCAGAATCTTGATAACTGTCATATTAATAGATCATAAAAGACGCTATCATTAACTGTTGTTGGTAAAAGATATCAATAACTGTCTGTACTATATAAAAAAAAACTTTTTTTGCATTGAAGGAGAAGTAAGCAGTCAATAATTGGCAAGTTTTTGTTTTTTAGAAATCAAGTAATTAATAATAGAAAGATATTGAACATTCTATTGATTGTCATTACTATTGCTATAAACTAAATTTTTAATATCCTTGTAAGACGCCCTACTGAAATATTTTATAATTAAGATCATATTTAAATATATATTCTTTTAAAATATAATTTTTTTAAATTTTATTTTAGAAAATGAGCTATACTATAAGAGACATTGTTGAGGATACACAGATGGCAAGAGAATATGCACTGTTGGGGAAATATGAGAACTCTTTGGTGTATTTTCAAGGAGCAGTTCAAAGAATCCATAGACTTTTAACTACTATAACAGATTCTATAAGAAAAGAAAGATGGCAACAAGTATGTAGCAATTTTATACATAAGTATTTTTCAAAGAATCAATAAACTTATTGTAATTGTTATTTTTAGATTCAGCAAACAATTGCTGAAGAACATGAAGCAGTTAAAGAGGTCCAAAGTGTGATTTCTGAATTTAACACAGAACTGAGTATTGACCGTGCTATTTCTTCGAGACAGTCTTATAGTTTATCAATTCCTTCTGACATTTCGATTTCTTCTGATATGTGGGGTCCACCTGCACCTAGAGATCCAGATGTTTGGCCTCCTCCTACACCCGTGGAACATAAGTAAGCAACTTTATTTTTGATATTAGACAGGGAAATCAGGAAGAATGGAGAAAATTCAAGGAAACGTCAAAAAATTCTGTTAAAATCTCTAAAAAGTCACAGAAAAATAAAATGAATTCATATTTGAGATATTTTCTGAACTAAATTTTTTTAGAATAAAGTTGATTTTTGAATGATGAAAATCAAAATTGAATGATGAAAATGAAAATCAAAATCAAATCATTTGCATGATGAAAATCAAAACTTCATGTCTGTATTAAGATATTTTGCTTTAGACTTTTTGGAAAATCAACGACAAACGTTTCCTACTGATTTAAAGTTTCTTAACAGTTATCTTGGATATATCATAAATAGCGAGAATTAACAAAATGTATGTATCATCTATTATATCTCATTACTGCTCATTTCCTTATGCTTTTCATTTAATATGTTTAATTTATTATAAAATTTTTTTAAGAAATTTTTTTAGCTTCGATATCAGGCAAAAGCTTTTTGCAATAGATTTTATGTTCAGGAATAAGACAAAACTAAAAAATTAATAATAAAAATAATGTCTTCAGTTACAAAAATCAGGGAATTTTGCTAAAATTGATCTGGAAAAATTACTGAAGAGCTGGGAAATTTTTTATATAAGTATTTTTAGTCTAGCTAGAAATAGTATCATTATATTAGATGTAAGAAAACTTTAATAAAATTAAATTTTATGAGCGAACAAAAACAGATTTTAAAAAAGTATGATGATACAAGTTGTTATTAAATCATTTAAACAGCAATATACGAGTTTAGATAAGAAACATAAATATATCTCAAGCTTAACAGAACAGAAATCAAGTTGAAAAATTACAAGGTTGTATGTTTGTTTGTAAGTCAATGTGCTGATTTTGCTATGCAGGTATACAAAGAAATTAACCATAATTTCTAGAGTGTTGCAAATTTCATTATCAAATCGTTTTCAGGCTGTCTTTACTCTGTCTTGAAACATTTCTACATAGTATACTTTTGATATTTATATGTTTGTTAATTTTTGAATGTGGTCTGAAAAGTTTATGTTTCAAATTTCATATGAGTTATTTAGTGTAACCATTCTTGATATTTTTAAACTTTATATCTGCTGTGCTAAATTTTAGGCATGGTCCACCTATTCGCCCAGTTCGAGCTACACGAAGAAATGACCCTCCTTCTAAAAGCAGTGGAACAAGAAGTGGTCCTAGCAGTAATAGATCAAATCATGAAAGGGTTACTAAAAAAGGTTCTGATTCCAAGTCCAGAAAAGATGATAAAAACAAGAAGGATAGCAAAAAAGATGAAAATAAAGAAGATAAGGTTTGTTTTATTTCTTCCAATAGCAATTAAAAGTTTATTTGGAAACACAATTTAAAAAAACACAGCTTTTTTACATGTACATACAACTAATAACTCAATGCCTAACAATCTGTCTTAATTAGTAATTAAAATAAAACAAACTTGAGTGGAAAATTGTCTGAATGAAGCATATTCACTTTTATCGAAGCTACTAGAATTTTTAATACTCTTATCGAAATGCAATTCTGTTCATTTGTAAAGCGAAAAAGCCTAATTGATGCAACAATAAAAAGTGAGTTGAACTTGATAACTCTTTTTTTTTTTTAAATGTGTTCCACTAGTAATTTTTTATTAATAAAGCCAGTTTTTTTTTACCCATTGGCAAAATGGGTCTTGTTTTGGATTTCATGGCGTCCTCACTTTTCAACTACAATAATCAAGAGTAATAATAAACAGTGCACATGCGTTGCAAGGGCGACAGTTGCTGTTTGATAATATTTTTAGAATTCCTTTTTTCACTTTTAATTTGTTACACATTAAGTTGGTCAGTTTATTTTTGAGATATGAGACCAGAGAGATCCCACAAATACTTTTTGAGTTGTGAATAAAAGAAAATTTCATCCTTTGAACGATATTTTTATTGTTTTAACTAAAAACTAAACTAAACTCAGTGGCGCGACAGCCCTATTGTTTTAACTAAGAATTAGAAATTCCAACCTACAGTTCAAAGTGGATCCTTTTCAATACTAATTCAGATGAATATCACAAATAAAGAGGGTCCAAACTGATTGACACAGTCCCAAAAGTTAGAGTTGAAGCAAGAAAAAAACGATGCGAAGGTCTAAACTTACCGAGACTGAAAAAGCCGAAGAGTGTAGGCGGGAATACCTTAAGTGTTACACACAAACGGGGGAAACAAAAGAATTCCATTCGTAAACGCAAGCATGAAGCTCGTCCCTCACAAAAGTACCAAAGTGGATGAGAGAATTGAACCCTACCGTAGAGCGAATTGTGACTCTCTGAACCCCTTTCATGCAAATACGAGAACTGGGTGTTGATCACCAGTTAGGGATAAAAGGATCCGTTATCAACATACCCAATAACTTGCGCAAGACTGTAGACTGTCTTCCTCGCAATATAAATGATTCATTCACTATTCATGCAAAATTGAAAAAAAGCCTAGCTTTCAAATCATGTTTCATGTATAAACTTGTAAATATGAAGCGGNATATCACAAATAAAGAGGGTCCAAACTGATGGACGCAGTCCCAAAAGTTAGAGTGGAAGCAAGAAAAAAACGATGCCAAGGTCTAAACTTACTGAGGCTGAAAAAGTCAAAGAGCGTAGACAGGAATACCTTAAGCGTTAGACACAAACGGAAAAACGAAAGGATTCCATTCGCAAACACAAGCATGAAACCCATCCTTCACAGAAGTACCAAGGTGGTTGAGAGAATTGAACCCTACCGAAGAGAGAATGGTGGCTCTCTGAACCCCTTTCATGCAAATTTGAAAACTGGGTGTTGATCACCAGTTAGGGATAAAAGGATCCATTGTCAATGTACCCAATAACTTGCACTAGACAGTAGACTGTGTTCCACACAATATAAATGATTCATTCATGTAAAATTGAAAAAAAAGCCTAGCTTTCGAAATCATATTTCATGTATGAACTTGGGAATCCTAAACGGGTGTATGATGCAGATTGCAATCTCCATCAAACACCATTATACCAATCCAAAAGTGTTAATATTGTTTTCGATTGGCTGTTCAATGTCTATTCAAACATACAAAGAATTTACACAAAATGTGTCTGAGCTGCATTTAAATATGTCTGCGAAATTGTGTACCAAGCAGTTCAGGATTAACAGTTAACAAGATGAGAACACAATAAAAGTTTCTTTTCCAAAAGAAATTTGACAAGAACCGTTTTGCAAAGGGGTAACCTGTGATCGCCTTGCATCGATCCCAATTTTCTTCATTTTGTAGTGAATCGTGTTTTTATGTTTTTGTTTTTTTTTTAAATTTCTATAAAGTTTCGGTGCATAGAGAAAGATAACTAAGGTGTTGACCAAACTGCCATTTTGTATGATGATTTGTATTGGGCCCATTCTTAATTATTTTATGTCATTATCATTTATTAATTATCTACTTAACTTGTAATGAGTTAATGAATTTGTTTAAGCGAAGATATTTTTGGCAAAACTATTTTCCTTGCATTTGCAATAATCAACTTAACTTGAATGTGTATATTAATGTTTATGCCCCAATATCCTAATTGCTACAGATTTATATTTCACATTTAAAATAGAATGACATTAGTATAATTGTTACAAGGCATTAATAACTGATGTCTTATTTTGATATAGGAAGATGAGAAAAAATTTGATGGCTCTGGTTATGATAGGGAACTTGTAGAGATGCTGGAGCGAGATATTTTGCAGAAAAATCCAAGTGTTCGCTGGGATGATATTGCTGATCTTGAGGATGCCAAGAAACTGTTAGAAGAAGCAGTTGTTCTTCCCATGTGGATGCCTGATTTCTTTAAAGGCATTCGTAGACCTTGGAAGGTATGACAACCAATCTTTTTTCTGTAAGTGATTATTCGAAATATTTCATGGCAACTATTTCATATTTAAGAAGAAAAGTAATTTTCTGGTTATATTTTAAATATTCGGAATTCATTCTGTTGTGTTTTGTTTTATTATTTTTTTGAGAAATGAATAAATTTGACATAGTAAATATCACTTTTGATCAAAAAAATTGTTTTGTTTTTACTAATTTAACATATATTTATAACAATTTAACACATATATATTTTTCTATTCTTTGCATTCATTAAGCGATTTATGCAGTTATTCATTCTGAAACAGAAAATTATCAAGTTCCCCCCAAAAATTTAAATAAATCGATAAGGAACATTTAATGAACATTACTAAATCTTTAATTCTATCAGCTAGTGATGCATTTTTGCTTTCAAAACTAATCTGTACGGTAATTGCTAGTGTATTTTTCTATGTTTGGTTACATTTTTGTTTACTTATTTGCACAAAATATGCATTCCCTTTTGTAATGTTGAATAATTGCAGTTTGTTTTGTGAAATTTGTTTGTTGAGGAAATTTAGAATTGTAAATCTTCGTTTATCTATGAAAAATAAATTTAAGCTGCATTTTATCTTCATTAGTATGGGATTATGCAAATTATTTATTATTATTATTATTGTTACTTTGGCTTACTTGAAATAGATTTGCAGTATTTATTTTTTAAATTATAACATATTCTATTTTGCTTTCTTCCTTCTTTCCAAAACAATTCAAATTTGGTGTGGATACATAGAAACCATTGTTTTCTGCATGTAAATGGTCACAGCTTAATAAATATTAATATAATTGAGAAAATACTAAATTGAATTTTAGACATTCATGTTGAACAGTTATTTTTTTCATATCATCATTGAACAATTATTTTTCATATCATGTTCTTCGTCTATGAATTTGTCCGGCAGTGGACTGATCGTATAGTACAACACCGAAGTCAAGCATCACTGGCTGCAGTTTGTAAGCGTGTGGGTGATGACTTTGATCGGCCTGCGTAGGGACCGAGGGTGCTCGGTATCAGTCCTCGTTAAACTATTTTACCGTAAAGTACTCGACTTTGTGAGCAAGTCGTTGGGCTACAAAAGTAGGGGAGCCACCCCCTTTGCAGAGAATCTGGATCAAAATTGCGATGGCATGTCTTCAGATTATCCTTAGGGATGTTTCCCAGAAAGTCGCCAAAAGTCCATTGTGTAGCTCTAGTGTGACGAAAATAAAATACCTACCTATCATCTATGCAGTTAAATGTGTGAGAGAAGATTAATGAGCATTTCCAGAAAATAAAATGAAAATGTAGACTTTTAAAACTGTCTATTTACCACTTGTTTTATTTACCTTCTCCATGTATGTATACCTAATATTCTTTTCTATATTTTTGAATGAATCATAGGGTGTGCTGATGGTGGGACCACCTGGAACTGGAAAAACTATGTTGGCAAAGGCTGTAGCTACTGAGTGTAAAACAACATTTTTTAATGTGTCTTCTTCCACTTTAACTTCCAAATATCGAGGAGAATCAGAGAAGTTGGTTCGCTTGCTGTTTGAAATGGTAAGTAAAAATTTCATACATTTTTAAAATTTTAATTCTTTCAAATACAATTTCACAAAATCTAATTTTCTTTTTCCAATTTTTTTTAAAAATTTATCTAATATGCTTTTTTTAGGCAAGATTTTATGCTCCAAGTACAATATTTATTGATGAAATTGATTCTCTATGCTCTCGAAGAGGCACTGACTCTGAACATGAAGCCAGTAGAAGAGTGAAATCTGAATTGCTTATCCAGATGGAAGGTCTGAATTTTTTGTTTCTAGAAAAAGATGGGTTTTACCTCATGGAAATTATATTTATCACCCATTTTTAGTATTAAATATTTCTCAAATTTTTTGTAAGTTTATTAATGGGCAAGCAATTAAATCTCAATTTCACTACAAGCAATTTTTTGCAATTGCATGCATATCAAATGTACTTTTTATAGGTGTACAAAAATGAACAGATCATCTGGATAACTTTTAAACTAGTAATCATATTTACATGTAATAGAGTGCACTCTTACTGTTCTGGAGATTTGCCTCAAACCTTTTTAAATTATGCAAATGATATTTTAAGTTAAATCAGGTCCCCCCAATTTTTTTTTTCTGAAAAAGAAAACTTTCTATTANATTTTTTTTCTGTAATGAAAACACTGCAGTCCCCAATTTTTTTTTTCTGAAAAAAAAAACTTTCTATTATGTCAATGATTTCACAGAACAATGCGTTTTAGCTCTGTATCTAATCATCTAATTTATTCTAACTATTCACAATTGAGTCAATTTAGTTAAAGCCATCAATAAGTTGAAATTTGTAATATTCAATTTGTAAGATATTAAGGTTTACTGTTGTCTTGCCTGTGTTTTGCTTTTTTTTAACTATTAAGTGTATTTTTGCCACTGATCTTTCAGTAGCGGTATAGCAACTATTTATACTTTTTTAGTTCGGACAATATTCAGTGCAGACTTGCATTTAAATTAACTTTGTAACGATGGTTTCTATGGTATTAATACCAGAATATCGGAAAAACTATCCCAAGGTCAAATTTAAGGAAAAACAGGCATGGGCCTTGCTGCTGGCTATTTTTTATTTCAAAGTATTCAGTTAAATTTTATGTTTCTTTTACATAGAAAAAAATTGGCTTAAAGTTATTTTTACTAGCCTAATTATATATTTTGGAATTTACTGTTCATCTAAAGCCCTTAAAATCCTTTTTGAAATTTAAACTTTTCTTCTAATCGCTTAAACCATTTTATCCAGATTTTATTTTTTTTTCCTAGGCAAAACCTGAACTTTGATCTGTAATAACTAATATTTTTATTTTATGTTACTTTGGGTTAATTATTTTTTAAGAAAAGTTTCGATAATATTTTTTAACTTATGCATATTTTAATAACCATTTATTTTATTAATTTTAATCTTATTAATTTAAATCTTATTAATTTTTCTTTGATTAATCTTTTTATTAATTCTTATTTTATTAGTTTTTATTATTATTAATTATATTTTATGCAGGCATAACAAGCACTGAAGATCCCAGTAAAGTTGTGATGGTATTAGCAGCAACTAATTTTCCATGGGATATTGATGAAGCTTTACGTAGAAGATTGGAAAAAAGAATATATATTCCTCTTCCAAATGGTAAATTTATAAAATGAATAAATGATATTAATTTTAAATGTCAAACATAAATTCATTTTTTATTTAGGAAAATAAAATATTTTTAATTTAAAAGCTGCTGGTCGAGAAGCTCTTTTAAAGATCAATTTGAGAGAAGTTGAAGTTGCTCCGGACTTGGATTTAGAGAATGTTGCAAACAGCTTGGATGGTTATTCAGGAGCTGATATTACTAATGTTTGCAGGTAGAACAATTTATTTTAATCTGCCTAAGCAATTCCCCATAATGTTATATTGATAAAATTCTATATAAGCATCAGTAGATTATAATAATAATATTCATTAAAATTTTTTTTTCCTACTCTAGAATTTTTAAAAAACTTCTACTTGCCAAGTAACGTATTAGAGATAGCTGCAATATGGGAAATATGGTCCCAATAGTATAGTCAGGAGTTGAAAGTTTGGACCCCTTAATGTTAATTTTACTTTTTGTGTAATTCTGCTTTATGGCAAGAACTTTTTAAGCGAATTGAGAAATGTTACAATTATTTATTATTTTGTATTATTTTATTTAATGATGTTTTTATGTTTTTTTTTGTTTTTTTTTAATTTTTATTTTCAATCTATCAATTTTTAAACTTTCTTTATCATTTATATGCAGATATTCATTTTCTAAAATTGATATCAATTAATGGTGTTATTAATTATTTAATTAATTAAATCTTACTTATAATAAGTACTGGCTCATAGCTTATAAAATTGTTCATTTACATATAATGGCAAGTCTTTATATCTGTTAGTAGAATTACGCAGTTTATATAGTAAACAACATTGCATTTATAAAAAAATTTCTGAATTTTATTTCATGATATATTTTACTTTCTTAACTGCAATAAAATTATTTATGATGTTCCATAATCACCAACCTTTATGTATATTCTTAGAATAATAATGTATAAAAATAACGTATAAGCTAAAGATTAAAAATAAGCAAGAAAAAAAATATGAAAATTTGACGAGTTGAGGAAGGTGTAATGAAAAGTATCAAAACCAGTTTGGTTCCTTGGGAAAACTTGGAGGTGTCTCTAATAATCCCCTCTCGATATTTTTCATCTCCTGCCTACAATCAAACTGGTTTTTATATTTTAAATCCTACATTGTGCAATAATTATTAGATTTAGATAGCCTCTTTGGTTTTTTCGTAATTTGCAATCCTTAATGTGTATATTTCTTTACTTTATTTTTGCAAGGTTTTTAAAACTACATATTAAGGGTAGTAATTTTAAAGCACCTGTAAATTCATTTGTGAATATTTTATCTTCATACAAATAATAGTTTCATAGAACTAATCAAACAAATGAACTGATAAACATACTAATTACTTTTGTGGAAAATGTACACTGGTGATTTCTATCTTGAAACTTACTTGAAAACAATATTAAAAGTAAATTTTTTTCTGTCAAAAACAGGTGCCTTTATAAAACAGTATAGATACAATAAATTTTTTTATGAAACTTGAAAATTATCAAGAATAAAGCTTATTATAAGGTACTTATTTTGTTGACCACAAATAAATGAACAGCTAAGTTGACTGCAACCCAGCTATCTAGACCCATAAATTGTATCTGAATGGAGAGATATATTGGTCACTACACTACAACGATTAATTAAATTCTGGCCTCTAATTTTATTATAGTAATTTAATTGTCTATTTAGTGTCATAATGTGCATTTTCATTTTTCTCAATATATTTTGTTAATTTTGGCCATGCATCTATGATTAATTATAGTTATTAAAATTATAGTTAACTCTCAATTTATATTATACTGTGTACTTTTATTTTTTTCAATGTATTTTTTTAATTTTAGGGATGCCTCTATGATGGCAATGCGTAGAAAAATTGCTGGATTAACACCGGATGAAATTAGAAACCTTCCAAAAGAAGAATTAGAACTACCTGTAAGCCCAGAAGACTTTAAAGAAGCCATTAAAAAGATAAATAAGTCAGTGAGCAAAGAAGATCTTGAAAAGTATGAGAAGTGGATGGCTGAATTCGGCTCCACATAGATGAATTATTTATTGCAAATTTTAACTATTTTACTCTCATTCCTTTTGTTAGGGTTGGCTAACAACAGCACTAAACTAAGGTAGAATATCTGTGATTTCGATGGAACTTTATTTTTTGAAAGAGTTAGCTATTTTTGCACTTTTAATACATTAAAAATGTTTTCTTTTTACCTACTTATTTTTGTTTCGCAATTTCTTGATGTGTCTAATAAAGAACTATTTAACTATTTGTCTCTTGACTATAAAAACTTATTCGTCTGACCAACTTTCTGATTTTGTTGGAGTAACCTTACTTGGAAAAAATCACATAATATCTTAATTAAACAAAAACAAAAAAAAAACGTTTTTAGCTGTTCTCACGTTAACAAGACCAAGCTCAAGATGGTGGAAGACAAGGACAGTTTTTCCAAGTCTCTGGGTAACAAAGGACACATAATTCTTTGAGCAGGGAAGACTTCACGATCACCAAGAATATTTCGTGCAATCTCTTCCTCAAGATGACAACCAAGACAAAGAGGATCGGATGCAATATGTAGAGGTGTCTCCTGGGGGTACAACTTTTATCTTTATTTCATTTTATTCGTTCTTTCACCATATTTTGTTTCAATTTTTGTAAGTTCATTTGAAGCGCAAGTTTATATTATTCAGCATAGAGTTTTGTAATTTTTAGCATCTGTTGAAAATGTTATTTGCTCACATTTAAATTCCTTTACATTCAAGTAACATACATCTTGTTCAGTTTTTAGTTTAGTTTGTCCTCCCTTTGAAGTGTTATTTTAATTTAAATGATCTAGTCAGCATAATGAATTAGTGCATATCAAAAAGATTAAAGTGTTTTGAAGAGTTAATCTGATTTTGATCTTTTTAGAACAATTAATGTAGAAATTTTGGTTTAAATTATTACTGAATAAATAATTAGTCGCATTTTTTTTATTAATCATGTGTACAATCTATATTTAAATGGGAGATTTGTATTTTTTTAAACAGGGACCCGCTTTTAGTCCGGGTCTTGGACTTTATAGTTTCAAAAGTCTAGTGGAATCACTGTATCAACCTAATGAAAGTTAATATTTTTGTAAGTTAATGAAAATAGATGTTTCAAGAATCAAAGTATAAACTACAATCTTGAAAAAACTTTTATCAAAAATTAACAAAATATGAAAACAAAACTTTTTGTAGGGAAAGAGTTAACTATAAATTTTATCCTGAGGCTCTTAAGCCTGTATTTGGCCTTGGTTATCAGTGGAAAAGTAATAAAAGTCATAACTGTATTTACCTGTAAATTATTAGGTACAGTTAATAAATAATGAGGTAGAAGCTATTTTTTTACAATTTGAACTCTAAAGTATTCATCTTTTTATTTCAAAATTCTGGTGTTCAATAGGAACCCATAGTTTAGATTGACTCCAAGAATGTTGAATGTTAAGATCTGGTCATTAGATCACTTTATTTTTGGCACTATACATCTTAAAAATTAACGGAGCAAAAGATGATGTAACATGCACTGCTGTCCCTTAATGAGTTTTGAATGTTGAATACTTTGCCACACCCAACCCACCGAAACATAAATTTATAATTCTCCCTACTGTCTGATTTTAGATGAATAACTGATGCGTTATGAACGTGGGGAAGGTTTTATTCATGATCGCAACACTCGAATACGCCACCTGGGGAGAAGAATGGTACCATGTCTTGACCCTCTTCTCCTCTTCTCAGTTATATAGGAACGTATTTTCCCTTTTCTTAATATTTTTCGTATTTAGTTGTCACCAATATTTTTTTAAAATTTCCATTATGCTTTCTTTTAGAACTATGTTCAATGCAGTTTTCAGTTCCATATAGTTTCCTAACTTGAAAGTTTTTAATCTATTTGAAAATAACGAAAAACACTAACGTACATCTTTCTTCTATGACTCTCCATACGCTAATAGTGAAAGCATGCGAACTGTTGCCATGGGTAGAGAGTTCTGCTGTACGCTACCTACAGCCCATTTCGAGGGCCAATAATAAAAACTAGTTACTTATCAAATTTAATTACTATATGAATACCCATTGTATTCTACTGTCTGATACCAAGTGAATAACTAAGGTGAATAATATCGTATATCAAGTGAATACTGTAATAATTGATATCAAGTGAATAACTAATCTAAATATAAACTCATTTTTTTAATATCTAGTTTATTTATTTTATATGCAACATATGATAATGATGAATGATTTCTATATCATGTTATACAGATGAATATGTTTCCCTGTATACTGGTTTAGTGACTGATTTTAAGTACAATTTTGGTTCAGAATATCCGATGTCAACTTTTCCAATTTGCTGCTCCAGTATATGTGCTGGGGGTGACTTGGCTGTAAGTTTAACATCAGCTGGATCATCGTTGGAAAGGCCAGGTTCATTGGACTGTACGACAGCTCTGAATCCCGAATGATCAGCCACATAATCTACGTGTCTGTACACGCCATGTGCATCGGTATATCCATAGCTACCTTTCACATTGCCATGTTGATCTCCTTGTTCTTGTCGTTGTTGTTTATTTCCATATTCATCAAGAACGTCATATCCGAAATGGAAAGGATGTGGTGGATGCTCCTGAAATTCAGACATAAGAAAACAATCCCTTTGTTTTAAATTATTAGAAAAAAAATTTCATCGTTGAAATCCCAGTTTTTTGAATAACTTATGTGAAAGAATCATGAAATTTGAAGAGTGACATTACTCACTCATTTTCAAGTTAAGTAACACATTCTCTCAACAGCCCATTGTAGGCCATGGTGGTCAAGAAAGTTAAGTCTTCACAATTTCGTGACCAATAGCATGATTGTGGCAATGTGGTACACACTGTGCAAAGCCCGACCCTCATCCCATGTTCTCGGGAATTGACCCATCGATTTGAAGTGGACTTTAAATCGCCTCTGGGGATCGAACCACAGTCGTTTACAATGACACTTCAGTGTCTAAACCACTAAGCCACTTTTTCATATTAATATCAATTAAAGGGTCAGTTCCGTGACACGGAGCTTTTGGAGGCAGCTTCAAGATGTTCAGACAATGCCGTTCAAAAACAGACTAAAGAGTTTAATCGGTTTTCATCTTAAAAGATGAGTAGAGATATTCTTTCCTTCTCTTTTTGTTAAAATTTAACGATTTTGTGTAGAATTCAAATGTTTTGAAAATAAACTTTCATTTTGATACAAAACATTTTCCAACACTACTCCAACAATATTTATTTTGTCACTTTTTCATCAAAATAAAAATTCATCAAAAAATATATTTTTAGAAATTGTGAATTTGATTGGTGTGCTATATAAGTAGAAAGAACGATCAAACCATATGAAATAAGAATATTCCCTAAATTGTGAATTGTATATTATTATTCTTTAAGATTTTAACTTTTTTATTGTTTAATCTTCTGATAGAAATATTGATAAAAGAATTAGTAAAGAATAATGATGTCACGTGAAGGTTATGAATTGAATCCATTGAAATATCAACTGTTAAAGAATTAACAACCCTTCAATGATAATTTTCTCAAAAGTTAAAGAAATTTGGCTCGGGCTGCCCGACTCCAAGGGGAAAAAAATCTCCCTTTCATCGCGTCAAGTTTCAACTCAGTAATTGTAACTGTAGGCTGCTGAGCGGCCCACGTAGTATTTACTATTCAATAGTTTATAATTCTCGAACTATGAAATGTTTAATTTTTTTACGTTATCGTTTTTTCTTTACTTTTTTCTGTATACTTTCATATTTACTAGTTTCTAAGTCTTATAGGTTTTATGTAGCAAAAGAAATGTAACACCCAAATTAACGATTTTTTAATATAGAGAGATAGCTAAATAAAAGACGCTTTTGGGAGTCTGGTTTAGTACCCTCTATTGGTTGAAATTTTATTTGCGTCGTAATTATATGCAACTTTAGAGGAAGAAAACAATAGTTTTAAAAGCTTTAATGACCGAGTGTAAGCCTTTATGAAGAAAAATGCGAATTTCTGGCACGTTTACTTTAAAAATTAATTTTGAAGCGATTTTTTTAATGCTCGATAATAAAAAAAAATTGTTATGAGGGTTTAACCTTTTTAATAAGAGTTACTTCGAATTTTTTATTGTAATCTTCAATTTAAAAATTAGTAAAATAAATGAATAAATTAAAAAAATTAAATCCATACTCTACACCAGTGTTTCCCTAACTTATGACTTTTGTGTACCCTTTCTGAATTTTTCGTAAAGCTGTGTACCACTTACAAAAAAAATGAATGTATTTTTTTTTAAAACATGTTTATTTTTCTTTTTCGGCACAAAGTTTTGTTAATAAGTTTATTTGCATCAGTGAGAAGGATGATATTGTTTTTGCTGTGACAAAAAAAAAAAATTGCACAAAAGTTAAAAATCATAACTGGTTGTTGACATCACTAATTATAAACGATTAACTCTGCAAAAAATGGCCAATATAAAAATACGTAATCTTAAATTTTCATGATTAGCTTTGTTGAAGGATTCGAACCCGGTTCACATCATTGAAAGGCGAACGCTCTATCCCCTGAGCCATCACGGCTCAAACCAAAAGCAATTATAATCTGTTCAGATAATTATTTGCAACACTAAGCCTATGCTATGGTTGCAATGTACCCTATTCTACTTTAGTAATTTGTTACTCGCAAACCGATTGTATGGTTGGCAGGGGGCTGACTTCATGTTAGAAAGCTCCTGGGTTTGAATCACGCTTCGTGCATGGAGGCAATCTCTCTCTCTCTCTCTGTTCAATCTCTTTCGTACGGTGTGTTGGGGTTATTTTGTACCTGTATGGTGCCCACCAAAAAAAAATATAAAGATCTACAATAAGGCCCTCTAAATAAGGATATAGTTGCCTAATTTGGTGAGCATTGGGGAAAAAAAATAGTAAATTGTTACTTACGTAGGCATCGTAACTTGATTTATATTCTGTAGCTTGTGCTTGAAGTTTATATGCAATAGCTGTTTTGGATCGCGCTAATCCCCACATTAACACGAGTAAAAATATCTGCAAGAAAAACAAAACAATCGTTTGTTATCTGGTGATTGCAAAAGTTCTTACCGAATTTGAAGCTAAATGAAATATAACGCCTTTTTTTATTAAAAAAATACACTATCTGGTCAAAAGTATCCAGACAACCCGATTGTTATGGCGGTGGAAGCTTAATGGTGTGGGGGGTGTTTCTCGTGGTTTGACTGTGTCCGTTAGTTCCTGTGGTTGGAAACATGAACTCTGAGATGTATGTGATCAATGCTACACTCCCAACTCTATGGCAATATTTCGGGCCCATTTCTCTTTCAGCTGCAGAACTGCTCCATTCACAAATCGAGGCTTGTACAAACGTTGTTTGACGAAATGGGTGTTCAAAACTGAACTGGCCTTCTCAGAGCCATGATTTAAATCCCATAGAACACTTTTGGGTTGAATCAGAGCGTAGATTACGTAGAGCTCTGAGTCCATATACCACTGGGTGTCCGTTAAAACGTAACGTTAGCATTCTAGTGACAGAATAGTAGATAATCAGCATTGCTGCTTTGCGAGTATTATTCATTTATTTATTTTTTAATTTAATAGCACACGAAAATTAAAGTATGGGGAGGACAGACAAAGTTGCATTTAGAATTTTCCTCGTTTTACAGTACTGCCATAGATGCTGTCAGTGTTATTTGATACTTAATGTATTGCTGAACTTTTCTATTTTGAAAGTCTTTTTATTTTTCCCGTCTGGGATGTTACAAAAGAGGCTCAGATTGCTTAATTCAACCAAAATAACAGTTAGTGCTATATATTTATGTGAAGGATTTCTCTTCTGTTTAATTAACTCGAGATAGCTTTTAAAATTATGGATTTTTCATTTTTTGACCTTCATTAAACAGCAGATCCAATTTTTGGGTTTACGATGACGAATGTTCAACTACGTAGCCTTGTAATTTTGAAACCGATACAGAAGACGAGGGAACTCCTGGATCAAGTATTGGGAGAAATTTTGCTTTCGTAGAAGTCTTTTTGATAGAACTAACCCACATTTGCGTCACATGGAGAGGAAGACCACGAGAACTTCCCACTGTTAGCTTGACGTCAAGGGGACTCTAACTCATGATCCGTCTACCACTGAGGATATTTCACGTCAGTACTGTGGTCGGTGCGAGCCGGATGTGGAATGCGTATCGACCAGCCATCGTTGTGATTCGAACCCGGTTTACCTCATTGGAAGGCTATCCCCTGAGCCATCGCGACTGGAAGTTATTAATTTGTAAAAACTTTGAATCATGGGGATTAAATATTACGATATATTTTTATTTATTTATTTATAATGAATTCAAATTTGACAAAGTGGCAACAAAGAGATGTATCATACAAAATTGGAAGGCAATGAAGTTTAGTAAAGTAAAATTTAACTCAGATTTCCAACAACAACAAAAAAATGCTATCCATAAAGACTGTAAAGAACCGAGATATAGAAGGCGTTGGATTTTGGAAAAACGAGGCAGAAACTTAAATATTGCTATCTAGACAAGTTAGGTATTGATTCCTTTTTTTATTTGCTTTTTTTTCCTTCACACTAAGTCAAATTAGAGCAAGTACGAGTTGAAAGGTTTAATAGTTCATAGGTTGCAAACGTAGAACTGTTTTGCAGAGCTAAATGTTTCAGTCATTGATTTTTCCCGCTCTAAGGAAAATATGAATGTGTGTTATACGCATTTGAAACACTTCCAATAAGCTTTAAAGAAGTCATTTGTGTCTGAAAGTGTTAATAACATGTAAGAAGCGTGCATTTTAAGATTACTACGATATAAACATTTTTTTTATTGATTCTTTAAGTTGTGAAACAAGCATTAAAAAATAAAGTGACAGTATATATTTTAAATACAATTTGAATCAGGCGCATAATTTTTTTTGTGATCATGCGCAAAGCTGTATATCTTATGAAAAAAATAATGAAATAAAAATTTATATTTGAGATGCAAAATATATTCGAGAATTATTCTGTGAACTCATTTGCCCTTTCGCTACACGTGCTTTACGTGCCCTTACGAACTATTTCGTGCCCTTTACGGACATGCGAGAGGAAATTCTGAAATACCGTAGAATGCACTATTCAACATCATATGCAATGGCTTGAAGATAAAAGTAAAACATGAATGAGTATAAAATGTAAAACACCCACACAAAAAGAAGAAAATAAGGTGAAACCTTTGTTCATGAGAATTTCTAATTATTTACATAATAAATCATAAATTAAAAGCCATTATATTATCGCTTTTTATATTTTTATTATTTTATCTAAAATGTACTTAAGGAAAAAAAAAATTTTTTTTTTAAAATAATTTATTCACAAGTTGGGTTTTATGAATGTGCTTTTATTTAGGAAAACTCTATTTTTTTCTCTAATCATTTGTTGAGAAGAATAAGCTTTAATTGCCTTTTATACATGGTAAAAATACGTTCGGTATTTCTGTTCTCCGTTTTGATCTATGCCACTTGACGATCAAGAGGTTAAAAAAAGTCTAGAGTGTATTTTTAACTTCATTATGTCAGATCAAATTAATTTTATTAAAATAAATAAATATAAAAATAAAAGGGAATGGAAAATGAGGTGAGAGCTTTGCAATTCGAAGTTTGCAATTATCTGGCTTACAATACAGACGAAGTTTATAATAAGAACTTAAGGACCGCGGCGATTCAAAAACTTTTATACTATCGAAAATAACAGTTATATTCAAAAAGGAACTGGAAAAAGTTTAAAAATGGTTTTTGTGTAACACTAATTGGAGTAACACTTGAATTTTTTTCTATGATTGAACTTAGGCAATTGACATATACAACACGCTTTTCTCAAAATTATATTGCACTCATTGATTACAGAAAAGTTAGCAATTTTTCGTTCTCCGCGTTTTCGGTTGTAGATGGCCGTGGTTCTTCAACCTCATTGATTTGACGTTTTTCACGAATTAGTAATGGAATTGTGTGATTCATTTCGGTAAGACAGAAGTGAAACTTTCATTTTCTTTTTTTTTTATTCTTTGTCTAGTGACAATTTTTGAACAAATTGTTAAAATGCTGTTTTTAAATCCTTCCATTGGAAAAGAAATTTAAAACGGAGAGTCCAATCACTTTTTTTTTCTGACGGTTACAATAAAATAATTTTCTGGAAGTTAGGAAAAATTCCTTTTTATAACCGAGTAATGATAATTATAACAGAGTTTTACATAGGCTTTTTAAAATTAAATCCCAACCATTTATTTAAATATTTCCTTTTTCAATCCGGGCTCGCATTAAACTATTTAAATTGAATTTATTTTCTTAATTTATCAAAAGATAATTTTTTTTAATAAATGTACATAATAGTTTGAACGCATAACCAATAATTTTAATTACAATATTATTATTATAGTAATAATTTTTTTATTAATAATTTGAGTCCCGCAATGGACCGATTTTAATAACTGTCGTTGAACAGCCGACCCAACGACTACTAATGTTCAACTCCGTAACCTTGTAATTTTGAACCCAATCCTGAAGACATTCCTGGATAAAGCATTGGAAGAAATTTGAATTCATAGATGTTTTTTTCATGGGACTAGTCCGCATTTGCGTTACACGACGAAGAAAACCACGAAAACCTCTTACTATCAGCCTAACGGCAAGAGGACTTTAACCCACTATCACTTACCATTATAGATATTTTTACGACAGCACTGTGGTCGGTGCAAGATGGGTGGGGAATTCGTATCCACCAGCCATCACTGAAATTCGAACCCAGTTCACCTCATTGAAAGGCAGAAGCTTTATCTCCTGAGCCACCACGTAAAGTCACGATTTCAAGTAGAATATTAAAGTCAAGAAACTCCTGGCAGTTGTCATTGAATGGGTCCGTGACCACTTTAATCAACCTGCTAAGGGACGGAGGGGGCATGGTATCGGTCCTCGTTAAACTGTTTCACCATAAAGTACTTGACTTTGCGTGCAAGTCATCGGGCTACCACTGTTGGGGAACCATCCCCTCCGCTGAGGATCAAAATTGTGATAGCATGTTTTCTGTTCATTCTCAGGGATGTTTCCCAGACAATTGACAAAATCCCATTACACAGCTCTAGTGCAACGTAAATAAAGTACTACTACTACGTGAGAAACTTGTATCCAAATTGAGCTTTAATCGAACTCTTAACTACTAAAAAGTCATTTAGCAAATTTAAGGAGCATAGTTGTATATAAAATCTAGCTGATTGCTGTTTTGAAGCTAAACTTTGAGTTGAAAGGAACATTTCATCACACAAAATTCACACAGAAAATAAAGTTGATACTAGTTTTTAAAATCGTTTTAGGAGGGTAGGACTGTGGGCTTAAGAAGAGAAAGAAAAGGAAAAAAGAGATTTTTTAAAATTATATTTTGAGAACAATTTATATTATATGAATTTGTGACTTACCTGAAAAAATATCTCCCTGTTCATTCTTTTTCCTTCAATATTAAAATGGCAGCATATTGTTTGCTACACAAGAGCATTTATAGAGAATTTCTTTTAGAATACTCCAGTCAAAATAGGTCATCGGAATGCGGAATTCGAAAAAAAACACAAAAATAAAATCTATTGATGGTAAATTATTTTAAAGTTGAACGATTGAGTTAAAGATTAAAATAAGACACTTTGCGCGTAGGGGAGCCCTGTAAAGTGTTCTATTAAAAGCAGAAAGCCATTACTAATTAGCCTCTGTTTCAAGCAAGGATTTGTTCTCTATTTGTGTGCGTTAAAACAGTTCGTCATAGAATATTTTTCTATAAATAGAGCATCGAAATAATTTTTTTTTAACATTCGAAAAATGATTGTTTTGAAAAGTGCTCCGATTAGGTATTTTGTCTCATAATGTTGCGGAAGTCTGAGATTAAAGAAGTAAATCGATTATAGTTTCATTTGTAATCGAATAATTCCAGATTGATAAGAAGATTTTGAAACATGTTTCGCCTTACTTAGTGACGTAATTGATATCTCAAAATTTAATTTCTTTCTAAATCTGTTCCATGCGATTAACACATATTGGGTATTTCTCTTTGTGAATATTAAAGCTTTATTTTTTTACTTTAAAGTGGTTTCAGGGTTGTTGAGATTTATATAAAAACGAAACATTTGAACATTTTGAGACAGGACACAGTTTCAAAATAGTATTAAAATCCATATATATTTTTTATTAATGTATATAACTATCTATAAAGGTACTCAATTATATTCGCAATTTTTACAATCTTTCAAAAATAATTAATTTGTCGTTCAAAAATTTTAAAAATGCCTTCTTTTTTACAAAAGTAAACACCATTTCGCGCGAAGTGTAAGATACAAAAATGCTTAAAAGTGCTTAAAACTACTGGCAACAACATAGCAAATGTGTAACCTTGTGATTAAACTAAACTCCTATCTATGTTAAGAAAATAAATATTTATTTTTTAAACTTCAAAAATTTCATTTTTGAAACTTATGATTAAAATATAACTCGAATTCTAAAAGTTTTATTTCAATCAAACAGGCTTATCATAATTCAAATACATGCTACATTTTAAAGCTCTTGCAGCAATAGAATTGAAAATTTCTTGTGTTGAATTTAAAAATATTGAGGCAAATAGTTTCTTTTAATGAACAAAATTGCATCTCAATTTGTTGACTAAGTTCAAAATAAATGCCTTTCAACAAATTTGGGAATAGTTACACGCTTAAATTGAACACGAAAAAAATGTATTGCTGTTTATGCCTAGTTATTTATGCAATAACTAGGACGTTTGCATACTCTTCTTGTGTAGTACGTAATCGGCTGATTTATTGGTACACGTCGGCACCACAAATTTTTTCAAGGTTAACAGCAATGTTAAATCTTTCGTGTATAGTACTCAAATTGCTTATATCGATATACAGTTTTTTGATCCTTTACAAGTACTTTAATATAAAGTGTTAGGTAGTTGTAGATTCGCTAATTGGTACGAGTTCCTTACAGTTTAGCCGTTTCATAGCAAAGAACGACATTTTCGTCATTGTTCTTAAAGAGTGTGTAAGTTTCTAGGATCTAATAAAATGTTCCTTGTGACGTCTGCCAAGTTGCATATATTTGTCCTCATCGTCATCTTTAGCAGCACATATAAAACCATTAAAAATATTTGGTATCTAACTCCACGGTCAACTGGAATTTTAATCCAAATTTAGACTTATTTGACATGTTCTGAATGAATTTGAAACTCACGATGTGCTGTCTATTTTGATCATTATAAGTTTCTCCTGCTATAAAACGCACAAAAGTTTATCGTTTTCTGGAAGAAGGGTAAATTTGTCGTATCTAAGCCGATTAGTGAGCTCTCAATAAAATATAGATAAAAGATGAAGAAAAAAAAATAAGAGGATGTCATTTGAAGCAATGCACTCAAATTTTTACTGCAGTCGTTTCGAAAGCTATAGTCATTCAAAGGTAGGACTTCATTTTACGCGTTTGTTCTGCAAACTAATATAACAGTTTTGTATTATTTAGGAAAATCTCAAACTAATAGAAAAGGTCATGAAAGACAAGTAAGGTATTAATATAATTATTTTAGGAATTAGCTCCTCTTAAAGTCGATTTGTGGTTAAAATGACACTTCGGTAATTCTAGCTTTACTTAGATTTTAATATGATGAAGGTAGTAGAATATATACTACCAACAGTATATACCATTTTTGAGATTCCAATTCTACTTGTAGCTTTTAAATATATTCTTTTTTTTTTTTTGCACCTTCAAACTAAAAATTACAAATCGGCATTAGAATGGTCAATTTAAACGAGCTGGTAAATAAATATTCTGTATAGGTGGGCTTTTATTCATCCCCAGCTAAATGAATTAAATATAATTTGAAGCGCTCTTTGCTCAATCAAGTAAATAAGGATTCTTAATCAACTACTTATGAATTAAATATATTAGCTATAGTGGCTTTTTGCAAAATCGTAAAATTGATTGAAAACCCTGGAGTGTTATGGAGGAACATATTCAATCTTTTTCGATCACTGCACCACACTCAGCTACGAAACCACAGTTAAAAACTTTCTGCATCATCGAAGAACAATCGTAGTCGATTGTATTATGAGGAGGTTGGTTGTTGAGTTGGTAATTCATCTTCTTCTTCGGCGGCACGACGACTTCTGTGGATGGGCTTTGTTTTTTCAAGAACTTTCCTCCAGGTCTCACTATTTTTGACTACTGCCTTCCAATTAATCACTCTTAAAGGGGTGAAATCCCTTTCTAGGCTGCCAACCCATCTGAGGCTAGGTCGGCCTTCTTGTTCCAGAGGACCTGGCCAAGAATAATTTTTGTGTTGGAAATTCCTTGTTCATTCTAATAACATAACCATCCCATTCAATTCATCTGGTTTTTATGTATTTAATGACGTTGGGTTCTTTGATGACACAATAAAGTTCTAAATTTGAGCGTCTGTGCCAAAAACCATCAAAGACTTCATAAGCATCTTCATCTTTTTGTGTCATTGTCTAAGTTTCTGATGAGTATAAGAGTATAGGTCTAATTAGCCATTTATAAATTAATAGCTCTGTCTTCCTTTTAATTAATTTTGATTTTAGATACTTCTTTAATCCGTAAAAACATCTGTTGGCAGCATTGATTTACCTCTGAATTTCAGATGTGATGTTGCTGTTAATGTTAACCTCAGAGCCCAGATATGTAAAGCTATCAACTTCTGCAAATTTATATGTACCAATTTGTAGCAGATAGATACATAGTAGAGTCTGTTACCTTAGTGCACTGCATGTAATTAGTTTTTTCTTTGTTGACTGTAAGATGCATTTTAATTGCCTCCTTTTCCAGGGCCAGGAAAGCCTGTTTCATATCAGCAGGTATTCCTACGATGATGTCAATATCATAAGCGAATCAAATTTGCATGGATTTATATTCCTCTGGTGTTGATTTTTGAGTCAAGCTTGACTTGATATTATCCCTCTTAATATCCTGCTGATTTCCGCATTGCGCCTAAGTTAAGACTGGCCATCTCAGTCAAGACAGACCTTGTTGCTGTTGTATAGGCACGTTGGACCATATTTCAATAGTTAATGGTCAGATTCAGAATTAAATTCATAATCATGGCTCTTTAAATTTTTTTTTTAAATTTTGGTTTTATTTTCCCTACGTACAGCTTCAAAATTTTAAATTGGAGAGCCGCTGTGTCTTAAGGGATAGACCGTTCGCCTCCTAATTCGGTGACCCAGGTACAAATGCCAGCGAAAACTGGTCGATTAGAATTCTGAACCTGGCTCGCACTGACCACACAGTTGACCTAAAATATTCTCAGTGGTAGATGGAGCATGGATTAAGAGTCCGCCTTGCTGTCGGACTAACCGCGGGTTTCGTGATTTTTTTCTCCGCATTTAACACAAATGCAGGTTAGTTTCATCGAAAAACCCTCCAGGAAGAATGGTTTGTCCCAACGCTTGATTCAGGAGTTCGCTTGTCTTCTGGGTTGGGTTCAAAATTACAAGGCAACGGAGTTCAGCATTGAGAGTCATAAATTCAGAATTGGGTTGGCTGTTCAACGTCTGTTATGAATTAAAATAGAATGTCTCAAATTGGAAAAAGATATTTTTGGCTAGTCGTTTAAGTTGGACAGGATGTCAATTGGAATTTGTTGATTTAAAATCCCTTACATAAATCTCAAAATCGCTCAAATAAAATCAAAAATATAAAATTTGAAATTATTTTTGTCGGATTTAATAAACTAAATAGGTTATGATTAATTTCATGAATAAAACAATAGGATGTAATTTTTCCTCTCTTTTTGCGAAGAATTTTTTTTTCTATAAATCTTAATCTCGTTTTATTTCATTACAAAAAAATTCCTTTATGTTTATAACAGCTTTTTATGAGGAATATTATTAAGTTATAACTTGATTTATTAATGCTCTATAATTATTCAGTATCCACTTATCATTTTGTGATTATCTTTCAACTCCTCATTTGAACTTAACTTATATACAATAATCATTATCAGTAAATTAAATCATTGATTTTTTTATGATGAAATGAGGGCGTTAGAGATGTAAGCTATTTTTTTAATGCTTCTAAAAAAAGTTTCATTGTTTCTATGTTGCGGCAATACTGAAAATAGCACTTTAATGCTACGAAATTAAGAACCGGTCCCACGAATTGCTGAAACATGCCGCCTCCTGTTCGAATATTTTGATTCATTTTTTCTACACGCTCTAATCGTATTATGCGCTTAAATAAATTTCGAGATAACAATCGTAAACTTGTTTGAAAAAAATTCCCAAGAAATATCAAAAGCATCCGTTTGCTTCCCTCAAAACGTTCATTCAGCAAAAAATAAACAAGTTTTGAAAAAAAATAATAATTGACGGTTGAGGAGATATAACTCACCTTATTTAATAATTTTTAAACAGATTTCAATGATTTTATGTACAATATTATAATTATTAATACTCATCCACTACTCACTATTATTATCATATTAATGTAAATAATATTATAACATTATAAATAATTATAATTAATATTCAATAATTATTAATATTATAATTAATAATTATTAATATTATAATGAATAGTTGATGATTATAATATTCATTATAGTTATTAATACTCAACTATAATATGTGCGTAAAGTAAAAGCTGGATCACCCTCAATGATTTTTGATCTAATGATCGGATTTTCACTAACTAAATTGCAATCTTATTAATTGATAAGAGGTAGACTTGAAGTATGCTAAGAAATTAGTACAGATGCTTTAGGTTTAGAAATGAGATACAAAAGTTTACTAATAAGCATTCTTTTATATATATATATATATATATATATGAATATTTGCTTGTTTTCATNTTAACACTCGGGCTAACGAATAACTTATTTTATTATATAATCGTCGTTGAACAGCTGACCCA